GCTCGTACTTCAGGTTGTAACTGTTCATGGTGTGGGAGTACCCTGCCCAGCTCCTCTGATTCTCAGTTTTCTCCACTTTGAAAGGAAGGGAGAGAACTAACAGAACTGTTGTGGGGAATAAGTGAGATAAGCCCTGGAGAGTTTACTACAGTGCCTGGCACCCATAAGGTACTCAGCTAAAGACAGGTGCTTAGCAGAGGCTTTTAACCATCAGTGAACCTGAGCCACCCTGTGGGACTGAGCATCGCTGTCCTCGAGTAAGACACACACACACACAATTGGATGCTGCATGCGGAAGCGCTCAATGGCTCTCTGTGGACTGTGGTACTGGCCCTGTGCCTTCCTGGCTGGTCTTCCTGGTGCACCTCACCTGTAATCTGTCCTTAGCGATTACATGGGCCTGTTAAGAAGGGGACAGGGAATTAACAGGACATGTGAGCTGAATGTTTCTGAAGGAGCTGATGAAGGTGCCTTGCTTTCTCCTAAGCTGACAGACACAGGCACCAGCACCATAGGATTGGAAATAAAGTGGAGACCTGGCCTCTTAGTCCATGCTGCTCTCTTCTCGACTGTTTGAAAGACACCAGAAAGCATGGGACTGTGAATTAAGTGTGTGTGTGTGTGTGTGTGTGTGTGTGTGTGTGTGTGTGTGTACAGATATACTGTCCAGTGACTGTATTGTGAGTGTATCCTGTGTGTGTGCACACGTGTGTACACGACATGGTCTCATGTAGCCCAGGCCATCCTTTAACTCTGGGTAGCTGAGGATGGCCTTGAACTCCTTCATCCTTCTGGGGTTATAGGCGTGGCCCATGTATATGTCATGCTGAGGATGGAACCTAGGGCTCCATTGTGTATTTTTAACTACAAGTATAATATATATATATATATTTGTGTGTGTATGTATGTATGTATGTATGTATGTATGTATGTATGTAAAGTCGAGAGTTAGAGAATGTGAAAAGGAAGCAGGTACAGGGTCAAGTCTAAGAACATGTTTTTTCTAACACACTAAGTCCAGTTAGTGCTGCTCACATGTGCATGGGTGTGGGCCATCAAAGGGAGCCCCAGAGATGTCCGTAAACGGTGACTCTCCCTTTCTCTTTTTTTCCACAGGGGCTCCAGTTGCCCTGAGACGCACATCTGTATTGTGGGTTTATTTTATTATTAATCATTATTTTGTTTTTTCAAAACAGAGTTTCTCTGTGTAGTTTTGGTGCCTGTCCTGGATCTCGCTCTGTAGACCAGGCTGGCCTCGAACTCACAGAGATCCGCCTGCCTCTGCCTCCCGAGTGTTGGGATTAAAGGCGTGTGCCACCACCGCCCAGCTCGTGGATTTACTTTTAGTGCTCAGAAAATAAAACATTATCATGAATGAAAGTTCTGGAAGAACTCTGCCAGGCTGATGGGCCGCTTGCAACATCAGCCACTGGGGGAGTTGGAGTGCTGCAAGTCCGGAGTCTCATCTCGATTCGTCTTGGGCTATCCTCAGCCCGTCTGATAGCCAGCCCGTGTTCTTTGTCTGAGCTGACGTTCTGTGACCATCTGTGAATGGAACCTTTTGTGCTGTATTAACTTAGCACACCCCTGGCTTCCTGGCCACAGGCTAGGGATGTTCCAGCATCTGTGACCTATGACCTTGTTTTCCATAAGCTACAACCGATGTTTCCCCCCAACGTACTAGAGAAGTGTTGATTCATGGTTTCTTTGTTCCAATGCCATAACATTTCATAGAATGGTCACCATGTTGGATGGTGATAGGTAGCCTAGATCTGTTGCCAGGATGTGATGTTGCCAGGATGTGGTCACTCATATTTAACTCCAGAACAAGTGACCTCTGAGGTGAAAGCTATGTTGTCGGGAAAACAGCTGTGCTACAGAAATCGAGGCCACTGCGCGGTCTATGGGCTGCCTTCTTTCCCTCTCCAGCCTGTCCTTGCCCGACTGTGGCCCAAATCACAGAAGCAGAGACAGCCAGACAGTGAGAGATGGGGAAGAACTCCAAGATCACAGAGCAAGCCAGCAGCAGAGCTGAGATCTGAACTCACATCTGTCTGCTGCAACTAGCGTCATGGCTCCCGAAGTGGGGCTTCCGGGGTCTCTGGGTGGGTGGCCTCTGAGAGGGGCCCTTCTGTGCTTCCTCAGTCTGCTGGCTTGAAATCATACACCCGGGAAGCCTTGCACACTTTAGGGTTGGTTAAAGTGCAATCTCGCCACCAGAGTCCCCAAGGCCCCGCCAGGAAGCTGAGCTCAGGAGTAGAGGACAGAATCAGAGCGACCCAGTGTCCCCTCCCCCTAACCCTGGCCTCTCTTTGCTTTGGGCAAGTTAGATTTGCTTGTGGCCTTGCAAACACTCCACGAGGCTGGGACAGTGATCGGTACAATCCCGGAACATCCAGGGCCACGCTCCTAATCACCTCCCACCCTGGGAATCCGCCTTGATCCCAAGCAGGGGCCCAGCAAAGGCTCGCTCAGACAATTAGTGTGAAATTTAATTTGTGCTAATCGGCCTGAGCATGGGGAGCACAAAATTAATATAATGCATTAATTTTGAGTCTCATGGAACCCACAGTCTGGAGCCCGAAGGACAGTCAATTCCTTCAGCTACAGGAGACTACGGGATGCTCTCACGTGGGCCAAATCCACACAAAACTTCCCATTCCTCCTTCCCTCCCCCCTCCTTTTCATCCCTCTCCTCTCTTTTCCTCTCTCTCCTTCCTCCCCTCTCCTCCCCTCCCCGCTCCTTCCTTTGAAGCATGGGTAGAGGCCCTGTCTATGGAGGGGAGGAGGAAACCCCAACTCGGAATTTCAAAAACCAATTTAAGGATGGGTGATCTGGTTTGCAAACATAGCAGATTTTTACAGATGTCACAGGCCAGTTGACAGGAAATTGCTTTAACAACCCTCCCTGATCCACCGGGTGCTGGAATCAGCAGAAATGCCCTTTCTACTGAGGGACAATGGTCCCCGAGGACAAGCTGGGCAGAAGGGGACAGGAATGGCTGCTTGTTTCTATACAGTCTTAAGGGAAAGGAACTGGCCGGGCCTGGTGGCACGGGCTGGTTACCCTGGTGACCCAGAGGCTGAGGCAGAAGAACAACCTGTTTAAGACCAATCTGCATGAAACAGCAAGACATTGTCTGCGAAAGAGGGTGGGGTTGCAGCTCTGTGATGGGGTGCTCACTGAGCGCGTGCGAGTCCTAGATCAATGCCCAGCACTGAGAAGAAAGCATCTGGCACAGTGTACAGCCCAGGACACACACTAAAAGCAGGATGCCGCTGGGGGGGGGGGGGTATGGCTGTCATTACCCGCGGGTCCTGCAGGCGTTATGCGCATACCTACTGTGTGTCAGGCCCTAGACTGAGGACACACAGGGTAATTAGAGATAAGTAACTCCTGGGGACCCATATCTCTTAGGCTGCCCGTGCCTTCAGGTCCGACTTTCAAAGATTCTCAAACCTGGGAAGAGCTTGGGGGAGGTGAATGGAGAGAAGAGGGGTCTCAGATATGGGGTCAGCCACAGGCGGATGCGGCTAGTGTTCTGCAGAGGGCAAGTGATTGATAGCAAGCGTGTGTGTGTGTGTGTGTGTGTGTGTGTGTGTGTGTGTGTGTGTGTGTGTGTGTGTGCAGGCACATGTGTGGGAACAGAGGACAACCCTGTTGTTTTTCTCTTTGTTGTTTTTTTGCTGTGGACGCCAGGCTCCCTGAGCTGAGAACTTCCGGGCATTCTTGTGTCTCTGCCTGCGATCGCCCAGTGGGAGTGCTGGGATTACAGATCCTGTGCTATGCATTCAGCTTTTACACGCGTTCAGGGACTCAAACTCGGGTCTGCATGCTTGGTGGCAACCATCTCCCTGGCTCTTAATTGCATGTTTCAGCACAGCCAACAGACAGGATTTAAATGTCCCCAAGACAAAGACACCGCCAGTGTCAACCACGTCGAGTGTGTGTGTGATCACTCTGCTTTGGCGTGTATGCTGCATACGTGTATTGACATGTCCCACGCTTCCCCATCAACGGAACAATTATGACGGTGTGTTGAAGTCCGTACAGTGGGAGCCATTGCCCACCGGAGACAGACCAACCTGGTGCAGATCGAAGGCCAGATAAGACGTGGACCTCGGCTGCCCTTGCTGGGCTGTGGCCAAAGACCCTGTGTGGACCTCTGACCCATCTGCTGAAAGAAAGACTGAGTCTGCAGGCCCCGGGCGGCCCCAATGTGGTATCAGGCAGCACAGGTGCCGAGTGTCACAGAACGGGTGGCCCTGGTCTGGTGTCCCTGCCCTCACAGCTGCCCTGGTCATCAGGCAATTCTAGATCAAACGTCCAGCACAGTGGCCGTTCCAAGGCTCGGTTACCTCCACAGACGGCCCAACCAGGCACACCACCGCTGCCCAGTAACGGAATTCAACCAAGTGACTGTGTCCACGAAGGGCCAGTGCTGACCACAAGCCACTCTGAGAGACAGAGCCGACTCGGCCTCCTGACTGCAGATGGGATGGGGGGGGGGGAACTGAGGCAGGAAGGTGCCAGCACCGGCCTAAAGATGCAGAACCCATCCTGACAGGAGAGTAGATATTCTAAGGAGAGATGTGTGTCTCTCCTTGGCTATCAGACCATTCAAACTGGAACTTTGAAAACAAAATTCAAAATGGAATTTCCCCCAAGGAAGCTCATGCAGGACGAAGGAAAAGGCTGAAGCCTGATGCTTGCCAGAGGACAAACTCGTAACTCAGAAAGAGATTTCACCCAGTTCTGACAACCTGCCAGACCGTGTGCAGGAGAGAGGGAGCCCAGACAAGACGGGTCAGAGGCGGGCGGGGCCACGGCTTGACCAGGGTGCTTGGCTATCGGAGCCTCTTGTAGACTTGGGTCACTGGGCCTCTTTATTCTTCTTCCTAATGTGGCCACACTGGATAAACCTTTCTCTGCTTTCCGACATGTCTAGTTGGCTTAGCCTAGTTCCCCGGGCTGTGGGGCCCAGGTGCTTACATCTGGT